CGGAGCCTGGATTTCATCAAACGGACGCGCTCGGCCTTAAAGTTGATATTCAGAGAACCCCGGACGAGTCGGTGATCACTACCTGTATTGAACCTGTTGATCACGGAGACGTCTCTGAATATATACCTCTTGTCCATCATGATGAAATCGATCTCATTTTTAGTCATAGTGTCGGGGCTTTGCCACGTCCCCTTCCTTTGGGGCTGTTTCTTAAAGAAAGAGTTCATCAAGAAGAGCCCTTCCCGTTCGAGGAAGTTGACGAGCATTTGCCCCCTATGATTTCTGCTTCCAAATCCATGGGATCCTACTACCGATTCGCTGCAATTCTGTACTCCCATTTTAGCGTTGAAGTCACCCATAACAACGTTGTAGTGGGTCTTAGTAGTGGAGTGGAGGGCCCTCGATATATCATCGAACATATCCTCCACTTCGTCGTCAGAGTGTGTCGAGGTCGGTGCGTACACTTGCACCACCTTGAGGCTATACCTCTCGGTGAGCTTTATAATGAGGTACACTACCCTGTTCGACACGCTGGACATTTCCACAACGTTATCGGCAAGGGACTTATTCACCAAAAACCCAACGCCACCTTGGGACTGTTGGTCTCCCCCATGGATACATTTAGATATTAGATACATTAGGTGGCCCGATTCGAGCGTTATGGTGTCCTCCCCTTCTCTTCTGACTTCACTTAACCCTAAAATGTGCCACCTTGGCTTGGGTTCTTGCAGGTGTATTTAGAACCCTTTACACCCCCTGGAAGTACAGTTTTACAGTATATCTTTGTACGGCATTGATTCTCATCCGCACTTTGTACCTCAACCGCAGTTTTCAAAATGTCATATTTTGACAGCCAGTAGCAGTCCATAGATTTCTTTTGCGTAGTCACCCTACTTTCCTTAAATTGTTTCGTCGAAAACCCTTTTGTTATCACTTTCTTCCTCATTAAATAACGAATTATGCACTTTTTCGCTGAGAGAAACAACATTCTCGGCAGCGGCCGCCATATACATATATAAACAAAGCGCTTGCAGCACCTCTACCGGTAATAAATGTAACTACTTTACAATATGATCAAATATTTTTTGCCATTTCATGAATGATGTAGCCACGCGTTTAGTTGGCCATATCATGAAACGGTATCTCATCATTGATCTGCCCAAACCACATCATGATGTGGCCAATAAATAATGAAACATTTCATGAAATGCGACCATTTCATGAAATTCTCGAGCATTTCATGAAGTGAGCAAATCTACGATATGGCCGCGACATATACATTGGGTGATAAATTGATTATAAATAAATGAGATTGCTATGGTGCTGTACCTAACGCTTTGGAAAATTTATTATACACCTTTAAATTAAATCTTATAAACTTTGCTTTGGCGATTTTATAATTATGTAAGTTAGCGATCTAAGGTAGTTTATTTATTTATTAAAAGGCTTACCAACAATTGTAACACTTAAGCAATTACAAATATACACACGGAGACACTTATATCAGTGTTACAAATAATTATAGGTAAACACCACATATACCATATCTGTATCAAACAGTTTGTGTTAAAATTTTACCTAATATACCTTAACTTAAATGTTATTTTGTCCAAAGAAGGGTCATTACAAAAACAAAGGATCCAAAATTAAAAATAAACTTCTCGGGCACTCAGTCCGTCAAGTTCCTACTAATGGCTGATGTTATTGTACTGGGACTATCAAAGTGTAAATCAATTTTATGACTAAAACCGTTCAAAATTTTACAAAATCTCGCATAAGGCGAGTTAGCGCCTAAAACAGTTCTTCTTAAAGGAGGGCAGAGTGGCGTGATTGGCTTCCGAGGCATTCTAGAAGGAACGCGCAAATTGACAAGATTTAACAACTGTGGACATTGAATCTTATTCCTCAAGATATTACTTAAAAATTTAGCATCCATGAGAGACCTCCGTTTTGCCAGAGAGGTAATTTTGAAAAAGCGCAGTCTATCCATATATGACTTGATTTTTTTGGCTTGGCCTACAGAATAAATTAAATGCCACAGAAATCTTTTTTGAATTCGTTCAAGGCGTAATGTATGCGTAGCATAGTGTGGTCTCCACACAACACTGCAATATTCCAAGATGCTACGGACTAGGCTGTTATATAGTAATATTTTGGTATCTATGCTACTAAACGACTTGCAATTTCCTAAGAACAAATCCTAACATTTTAGAAGCCTTTTTAGCTATACTATCCATGTGCGAAACAAAAGTTAATTTCTTATCATAAATAACTCCAAGATCTTTAATTGTATGGACTTCTTCTACTCTGCTGTTATTAATAGAGTAATGAGCATTTATGATGTTGTGGTTTCTTGAAAATTTAACGTTTATCACGTTAAATTTTCATTTATTTGTATTTAAAATCATTCGATTATTGTCACACCATTCATCCACCATCAAATATTTTTTGCCATTTCATGAATGAAGTAGCCACGCGTTTAGTTGGCCATATCATGAAACGGTATATCATCATTGATCTGCCCAAACCACATCATGATGTGGCCAATAAATAATGAAACATTTCATGAAATGCGACCATTTCATGAAATTCTCGAGCATTTCATGAAGTGAGCAAATCTACGATATGGCCGCGACATTGGGTGATAAATTGATTATAAATAAATGAGATTGCTATGGTGCTGTACCTAACGCTTTGGAAAATTTATTATACACCTTTAAATTAAATCTTATAAACTTTGCTTTGGCGATTTTATAATTATGTAAGTTAGCGATCTAAGGTAGTTGCCACCAGTGCCGAGAATTATAGCTTTCGTCAACCTGCGGCATTAATGTCATTGGTTGGTATTGTATAGAGGGTGATTAACAACGTTTGAAGTTAACCTCTGGCATCTACATATTTGGTTTCTGTGACTTATTATGTAGGTAAAACAAATTATGAGACTAGGGTATGACACTGCATTTGTGTATATCACAATCTTAGTTCCGGACGTTGACAATGCAGCCACTGCCAATTTAAGATAGACGACGAACAAGAGTAAATGGATATTACTCTAAAACTACTAAAAAGAAGTAAAATATGCCTTTTCAATAAGTATATATAGGTAACGATTGAACTTGACTACACACATTTTTGCGAAAATTGAGGCCCATTTGTAGCCTTGACCCTGGTGGTAAGGTCTCTTTAAGCCTTAATAAATCAATCGTTCAGACCACCGCAAGGTACCTAATAATATCCGCGATATTTACTCTCTTACTCAAGTGACAAGACTGCGGTATATACCGTCTTATAATCCTAACTAAAAAGTGCAAAATAAAAATGTTAAAAAATCAAAAAACCCGACTGCTTAAATATTACTTCAAATAAAAACTGAAAAAAAAAACAAGTCCAGTAGCCTATAATTCTGTTAGGTAAGGAATAAAGCTACTTTAACAGTCGAGACCCATTATATATTCAAGAATGGTTATTTTTTTTCAATAATGGGTCCCACCCAACTGTTAAAGTATCGTTGTTCCTTACTTAACAGAATTATAGACTACTAGACTCGCTTTTTTCTTTTCAGGTTTTATTCGAAGGAATATTTAAGCCGTCGGGTTTTTTGATTTTTGTTTTTTTATTTTAATTTATTTTATATTAAGGCAAAGATTAAAGTTGCTCTAAAATTGTGTACGATGGCAGCACTTAATACGTGCTACTAAAAGTAAAAGAAGTTTAATCTCGAAGGGTGAATTACAGAAGTTTAATAATCAGGACGTTTTTTACTTTTTTCATAATTAATGTTCAGAAAGCAAATAGCATAATGTTAAAAATTACATCGCAAAGTCTGCTAAATGACCACTTGCTTTTTCGGAACATAAATCAATAAAAGAAAGTTAAAAATCCTGCACGATAACAATGGTGTGTTTTACTTGACATTGGCTGAACGCACAAACCGTGCTTGTCACAAATAAGACAAAAAAAACATCCATAGATGCTCAGCGCGTTAGAAATGGATTCACATACACTTTTCCAGCCCGCTTAGTTGTTTTTAAATAAATAATAATAATAAATAAATATTTCCAACACTCACACCAATTAGCCTAGCCCCAAAGTAAGCACTGTAAGGCTTGTGTTATGGGATGCTAGGGTAACGGATAGAATACATATACTGTACATATATAAGTATATTTATACAGAAAATACATATTAAACATCCACGACTGGAGTACAAATGCTCGTATCCATCACAAACATCTGCACCCACCGGGATTCGAACCCAGGACCTCTCGAGTCGGCGACACCATGAAACCCGGCGTACAAACCACTCGGCCACGGAGGTCGTCGAAATTTAAAGCACTTTCCGTGCAAGTGTAGTATAAAATGTTTTATTTATTTTTTGTGTTTTTGTTTTTTGAATATAAAGTGCAGGGTCAAACTTCAATCATGTGCGATTTCATTCTATGTGGGTATGGAAACAAATACTGTTGTTAAACATACAGTAAGCGCGATCTAAGTGCACTCGGGGTGAGGTTGGGGGCCCAGGCCTACACTTTGGCGTCTCGCACGCCTGCAGTGTATTCCGAGCTCTAGCAAATTAATCATAACTGCATTGAGATTGTGCGCGTACTATCCCATAAACATCCATCATCGCGATAATTAAAAGCATTTCCCGTAAGTGTAGCCCAGTAGCCAAAGCATTACCATTTCCATGCCATGGCCACAAAAGTTTGCAGCTAATTAAAGCTAAAGTAATCAGTTCTTCACAAAAACCATGTTACCTACTCATTAACCCACGTACTTACGACACGATATGAAGGCGAAGTAGTTGCACCTGGAGTTCTAATTAAAATAAGTAGTAGCAATCCCGGCAAACTTTTTGAGCATCGACCAAAGACAAGGAAGTTTGCGCAGTAGCTATTTTATATACTTACATATCCTCTACCTATACCTTCCTATTTTCAGGGAAATAAATAATTCATAATGTTAATAGAATAAAAAAAATATAGTTGGATGAGGTGTCTGCTTTTTATGAGGTGAGGAATGATCTTACATTTCGTTCAAGGTTAATAATTTCGAAATGCAGCATTTCTTCAACAAAATATAGAGTGAAACACGTAAATATTGTAAAATCCTTTATTAAAATAATAAATAATGATGCAAGAGTGAATTACGCAGCAATACTTGAGCATATCTGCATAAAGCGGCGTGCCGCTTTGAAAGCCACCAACTCATCACGCTTGCACAACATTTAAAGCATCAATACGGTGATAATAATAACATAACATTCTACCAACTGCATTCAGAGACGTCAATCGATTTAGAAGTTTAATTAAAATTATAGATTAACGGCCGTATTCACAAATATGAATTAAGTTTTAAAGGTGATTAAAGTTTTGATTTCCTTCTTAGCTATAACTAAAGAGTAAGACAACACGTGAACACTTTAAATGAAATTTATATCAGGTCTTTAAGTACGGCCGTAAAACAACATGAGACTTATGAAGCATAAATTTAATTGACCTCTATGAATGCGGTCCTAAGGAACTTCGCGCACAAGATGACTACGACTGCGACAAGTGGACGCATTGGCCATTTAACTATAACTGGCTGATAAGGTAGCAGATTAAATGTTTTAGTAGTAATAATCTCAATATTTAGGCATTTGAGTTTTACATTGTGAGCTCCAGTCTTCGTAGTAATGGAATTAACGAGTCTTCACAAAACCTTTATAACTTATAATGTAGTCGTTGACGCCACTTGCCGGAATTAAGTTAGTTTAGTGTACGAAGTGCCTTACTGCTGATTAGACTCAGATACTGAGCCTAATCAACTAAACAAATTCCAATATTCACATTTCCAAGTAACATATTATTTTGTGTTCGACAATGAATTAAATAGTCAATGTAACAATAAATTTTATTACATTGATGGAAAATTAACAGGAAGCTCGTAACTCACTACTTTCAAGTGGCCATAATTATTAACTGTAACCGCGATGCAATATTAGGTACGACTGTTAGAGCGAGACATCGCTATTCATAAGCAGAGCGGTGTCTCGTTTCTACAACTATATTTGCATCGTGTTATGAATTCATATTATGGTCCGAGGTCCTACTTTTTCATTAATGATCCTTTCAATCGGTGATGTGTTTTTTTTTAATTAATAACATTGATTCAAATTATATTCTATTTAAAAAAAAATCTCATGCATACACATTTTTCTGAGCAGGAAAAACAGAATTATATTATACAAATTTGATAGAATGACTTTGATGTTCAAATATTTTGCTACAGGAAATACTTTTTTACGACTGATGCAATAATACTATTTATTACATTGTATAATTCTTTAAAACGAATATTGTGTATAATTAGCAACAAGAGGTATATAATTAGCTTACAACTATGTTTATTTCAGAAAATAAATATGTGTAAAGTTTAGAGTCACCGGTTGAAAAGATCCTAACCCTATGTAGTAAGCAAACTTTCACACTGTCATGTCACATCTTTACAATATGAATAAAAAATATGCTATTTTTTTACAATCAGTTCAAACATTACATCAGAATCAAGTTTGAAAACAGTAACATTGTAAATGTTTCAAATATCCACACATAAAAAAGGGATATAAAAACCAGTATTCTGTATTTGTTCAAATTGTTGTATTGTATAAAAACCAATACTTTGTTGATATAAATATAAGAAAGTATAAAAAATACTTGAGCTAAATGCAAAGAAACCAATAAAAAAAATATAGTTAGCAAACCGCATGGCCGTATAGACTTGGTAACATGACTTATATTTATATTACTTAAAATCAGCAACTTTGTAACAAAATTTTATTTACAAATAATCCGCCAACCTCCATAGATGCCTAAATTACATGATTTAATTAACACCTAATTCATTTATAGTAAAAAATATACACATAGAAAATGCCCATCTCACTTCACCTAACAAAATTACTATTTTTGTGATAAACAAACGAATCCAGCGCGCAGAGATTTTCATATTTGAATTACTAACATAAAATTACTAACACAGGAACATGCGTCAAAATGCTATTCGGGTCTAAAAATACCAGATATAATGCTGGCACTTCACTTGGCTCTTCGTATTTGCTATTTGTAAACATGACAACAGTCTGTCTTTTTCATGCTTTACAAGGAATGAAAAGGGCAGACTGATGTCAAGTTTACAAATAGCAAAGACGAACAGCCAAGCGAAGTGCCTTCATATTTTTTTATAATATTTGTACTTGAAATGTCGAAGCGCTCAGATATTTAACACGCAAGTGATTTTGTGCAACAAATGACACATTAGCGTTATAAGTAGAGATCGCATAACCGGAGGAGATTTTTGTTAAAATAAAATCCCGGGATTCCGGGAACGCATACTATCTTTTAGTTAAATTTTAATTTCCCATTCCAGTATGTGTGTATGCAAGGTGTAAGAGAAATGGTGGTGTGGTTAATAAGAAAACATAAATGAATACATATTTAAATAAAACAAGTTTCAATCTATTCCGTTGAAACTTGTTTTATTTAACGAGTGGTGTGCGTGAAAACCTATTAAGAAACGAACACAAATTTATTTATTCATTAAGGACATTTTACACAATATTTTTATGTTATACAACCAGGGCAACTGTGATTTGTTTTAAACTGGGTTTAATAGATCTCACGTAGTATACACTCAAATTTGAATTTCCCGGAAATGCGGGATTATTTCCGAAATAAAAGTGTTTTCCATAAATAGCCAACATCTCAACATCTTCAGGTAAATATGCATCCGATTATTCAATCTCTATTTATAAGAGTTCTTAAAATAGAAACATTAGACGGTGCCAAAACAGCCATATTTGAGTGCGGGCTGCCATAGTGAAGAGACACTTTTCAAATATTCCTCAACTGGAATGCAAGAATTAAGGCACGCTCCTGGATAAGCATCCACACCCATAGAGGTATAAGAATAGAGTGGGGAAGGCGGCTCTAAAAGTGTCCGTCTAGTAGAAAGAGAAAGAAGATGAGAGACCGCTAGCTATCTCTCTCTCTTGTGACGCATGGCATCCAATGACATCACATCGAAATAGTAAGATGCTTACGGTTACCAATGCGCATGTGCGATTAAAGAGAGAAAGCTAGCGGTCTCTCATCTTCTTTCTCTTTATATTAGAGGTACACTTCCACTTGTAGTAGAGTCTATATCTCCCCTACTCTATTCTTATACCTCTATGTCCACGCCGCGTTTCGTTGCGGCGTTGAGTCTATTCCACTTTGATAACTTGAACTGAAGTTGTCAATACCGTATTATTTAAGCTACATACAGCAATTTAGTGTCTTTTTCGCGTGCTTGCGAATATATTCGATCAGTTGTCATAGTGAAATTGACCGTCTCATTAGCGTCGGGGCCGCCACACGAAACTACGATTTTAGATCAATAATGCTCACATATCGGATCGAAACGTATCATTGCCATGTCGCCTATCACGTCGAGGCGTTACGAATAATAGGCAATAAAGATTTCATACAATCAGTAATGAACAGTTCAGGCGGTGCTTTTTTTTCTATCCGATATATTTGGAACCTTTTCATACGATGCAAAAGGTCTTGCGTTCCTTCCTGTAACAGCTTTTTCCGGTCCGAGTGTCCGGAATCTCCGAGTGTGAGATTGGAGAAGGTTTAATGGTACACACTTTGAGCATAAACCGTGGACAAGGGCGCAGACTCGCAGTAGCAATAGGGATGACGAGTACTGTTTTTTTTTCGTCTATCAGAAAGATTATCAAAAAGTATTGGAATAGATTTTTTTCTTTATTCGCATACCTAATCAAAACATTACAGAGTTATATTGATTTGAAATGTCGCAGGACGTCGGGCAATGGTACAATTTTTATATAGAAGCGACGAGCCCCCACTTCAGAACTTTGACGCGCTTTATCTAAGAAATTTTTGGGAGATTAACAAAACAAAATAAGTGTCAATATTTTTTTGATAATCTAACTGACGGACTAAATAGAATTTCGTTTACGTTCCCCGTCATCAGCCCTATTTTGCATCGTGTTTACTACGCAAGTTAATTTGTGTGTGGTTTTGGTCTAGTTTGCCATTGTTTATGGGACTATGAGACGGGCCGTTTGCGTACGAACGCGTCGGCAGCGGAGGAAGCGTATGAACTGGGCAGTTCTGAGCCTGCTTCCTGTTTGTACCCGTGTTGACCGCTTAGCACGCTGCCTTCGTCCATCACCGTCTGTTCGAATAAAAGTGGAATAACGTTAGATTGCTGCAACGTCAAGATTAAATTTGAGGAGCTGGCGAACATAACGGTATAATTACGTATCTGGTCAAACAACTTTTTTTTACAAGCCGGAGGTTTCGGGCCCGTTGAATTTGAATCTCAAAAAAATTTTCAGTCAAAACCGCCTTAAACAGTGACAAAATTACTAAATTTCCAAATTAAAAGCCATGCCAAAAGCTCACTGGAGATATGTCATTCAGTTTTAGACAGCTCCTGTAAAATTTAATTTTATGTAAATATACCGTTTTGTTCGCCAGCTCCTCATTTCTTATAAGGTAAGAGAGAAATCAGAGGCAAAAGCACAAATTTTGACAGCTCAGCGTCAAATTTTGGATGGAAGGGGCCAGTTTGTTCTTAAGTCCGGTAGGGGCGGTGCTTAGTATTCATAGAAACTTTGACGATGCGATACGAACGCGGACGTATCATAATTCGTGCTTGGACCTCTGATCTGTATTATAAATCTGATTATAATTTATAGAGTAAAATGCCAGGGTTTCCAACATTATCCGAAATCTTATTAAATAACAAGAATCACACTTGTCACTATGATTAGAAAAATAATCGAAATATTTTAAAATAATAATGACCCCTATTCCACGCTATAAGTTGAGAATGACCTTTACCGATTTCATCTTTTTTTAAGTACTTTGTGGAAAGTCCTTACGGAAGAAAAACAAGAAAGTTGAACCGTGATACTTTTTGCATCGGAAGCGTCTATCTATAGGCTATGGTCTATCTATAGGATCAGGCGGGCTTAATAAGCTTGTTTGCTCAATACGAGCCGCTGCAGTTGGGTTTTTTAAATTCTTTATCGAGCAGGGTCACGAAAAAAGGCTTAGCTAGCTCATAGAACTCCGAATACCTTATTCACCGGACTGCATGCCAAATGGTGTAATTTGGCTGTTGTATTCTAGTTTTTTTCAAATATATTCCTAAAATCTTTTATGAACAGTTTTGTGATAGAAATAAAGAGTGCATATTCTAATTATTTAAGGCGTAAATCGCGTGCGCTCGTTCATGACGGTTAATACTTTCCTCCTATTTTTGGCGAAAAGCCGTTATAGAGCCTAAAAGTTATAAACAGTCTCTTTAATTAACATTATTTTAATGGGCGGTAAGTCTTGTTTCGTAATTGTACTGCGACGTAAATATATGGAAAACTACTGCAGTTACCACATTGTCTATTATATTTCAATAACACATTGACCTAAACAGAATACTTTACAATATGGCAACAAAATCTAAGAAGGTATGCAATAAGTTTATTGTGGTTGACCAACATTACATAATATTATTGGGAATAGCTAAGTCTGTAACGCAGTTTTTCAAAAATAAATAAAAATTTAAGTGACCATTGTTAATCAGTGCACATACATAACTTAAATGTGGGAATAGCACTAACACATTTTAATTAACGTTATATTTATATCGTAAAATATAACTGTTAAATGTCGATTTCTAGAAAATAAAAGATTGTAATGAAAAATGTAGCAACAGCGCAACCGTGAAAAAACTTCATTATTTAAATTCCATTGTTCAGAGATCGGTAACTAGATTTTTACTTTAGTAACTGTTTCAGTTGTTACATTATACACACACTGTTCTAGATAAAAACACAATACAAATAAACAATATTATGTAAAATTGAAAGCAATGTGTAAATTGCATTCAGCCAACCTTTCTTTTTAATAGGATAGAACTAAGAAATACAATAGAATTTGATTTAATCAATAGTAATATTAGAAATCAGAAAGTGTTTCTGTCCCTCCGTCAAATCGCACGGATTTTGATGTTTGCTAAAAGCTTAAGGTTTAAAATATACTAACATAAATTATTATTTTTGACCCAATAATCGTTTTTATTTTCGTAGTAGATCCACAATTACGCTTTACATTTAAACCACATCTAAATTGGCCACAGTATTTATGTACATAGGGGAGAGCCTGTTGCCTGTAATACAGGTTATCCTACCACAGGTTGGTTCCTACCACTATTGTCACCAATTTTTGCCTTATCGGTTTAAAAATATTGTATATTGTAACTTGCTTATAGTCACTAAACGTTTATTATTATATTTGTCAACCATTTTGCATAGAATAATATTCAATAGTAGCGTGCCCGACAGACGTTGTTTTTCTTAAATTTCTCTCGGCAACTATATTTATGCCATAAGAAAAATGCTTCTTATGGCATAAATATAGTGGCCGAGACAGAGTATTCGGAAACTTAACAAAAAAGATGGAAGATATCGGTAAAGACGTTTACAAGTTAAAGCGTGACGGGTTTGACGTTTAAGGACTAGTACCCTTAGGACGAGTTTGAGCTCACGTAAACTATCATAGTTTTCGCAATTGTTAATTATGTTTCTATGTCCACTTTGGTGGAAAGTAACCAAACATACTTAGAGTTTAAGAAGACGCAAAAGATTTAATGATAGAATTTAAACACTGTTTATTTGTATTGAAACGAAAACCATAAAATCATTACCATTAGTAAGAGTGCGAGCTCACAAAAATTATCATAGTTTTCGTAATTGTAAAACTCGTACAGGAGGCCTACTCTATTTTAACGAAAAACTAAATTTCGATCGAAATTTCGCATGTTTTTTTGATTTCGAAATTTCGTTCGTTCGAAAATAGTTTGACAATTAAATTCTCCAAGCCTACTCTAATTCACAAAACTTTCGAACGAATATTGGAATTTGACCGATAAGTGTTCGATATTTTAACCTCATATTGACGAAATGAAAAGTGTTACCTTTTCATTTTTGTTTAAATTAGCCTAAAATTACTGCTGTAGTAATTTTAATCAAGGCTGCTTAACGTGAGGATCATTTTTTGCCTTAGATTAAAACAAAAAGGGAAGAAGATACGGTACGCTCATACTAGCATCAAATAAAATATGCTCCGAATCAACTACATAAAGTAATATTGTCTCCAAGAAAAAAAAAAACGTTATCTAAAAAGTGGACATCAAAAGTCTCACAAACATAACTCATTCCATTCGTTCACGAATTTTTTTTGTGATTCCGAATTTTATGTGCGTTTACGAAAATGAAATAGAATAGAGTCGCTAGCGAAATTTCGTTTGAAATTCGTTAATTGCCGAAATTTCGTTTCGGAGAAAGAGAGTAGAGCTCCAGTTCTTCGCTGGTATTTTTCTAGTTACGACCTCTTTTGGATTAGACCGCTATTATACTCGACTACTTTTATTACGGTGTGCATAGATTTGCACCTTTATTTGATGTCTTCGTATGAACGTACCGTAACTCGACAAGAAGTAACCCAGAAAATAACATCAATCACTTCAGATTGTTAAAAATATATATATATGTTTTGCACACTGTATTGAAAGCAGACTAAAAACGAAATGGTCGAATCCAGAAACAATCATATTACGTTACGAGGTAGTCTTAAGCAGAAGTGGTCAAAACCAGAAATGATCGTATGCAGAGGCAGTCACTTCAATAAACGTCAAACCTAGCATGAATAAGATACCTAAACAGGGATTAATTTTTATACACATATATGTACAAAACTCTGCCAATAAATGAACTCCAACATTACTCACCATGCACAGTCCGTTGTTGTACTTTGCTTTCCTGTCGGCCTTGTTGTTATAGCGCGCTTTATAGAAGTCGCTGAAGAGGAACAGGAACAGGAAGCCGTGCATCGCGATCCAGTAGACGAACACGCGAGGGTACTGGCACGACGGCCGGAACAACACCTGCAGCTGGTGGCTGAATATCAGCACGAACTGCACCTGTTTACGATACGACACTGACGAAATTAGAAAAACAGGATCCAGCAGTAAATCATCATCAGCCTATAAGGCGCTTTGCAGACGACGGGGTGGGGCGGGCCGGTTAATTTCGCCGCGAATAATAGTACAAAGTGAATCCTATACTTCAAACGCACACAGAGGGCAAAAAGACCGCGCCGCAGGTGCCCGGTGGGCACTGGCGGCGCGGCATGTCCGCGGCTGCCCGCCGTGGATCATAGAAACCAGTTTATATGCAGTAACGCAGACGGCGGCGCAGGGCGGTCAGCTCAGTCCGCGCCACGCGCTTTTTAGTGATGGACTATTCACTAGAACGAACGTCCTGAACTGACCGCCTCTGCCCGTCGTGTGCTTTGTGTACGCGGCGCGGGCAGCCGCAGACATCGACGGGCAGACGCGGTCTTTATTGCTTCGCGGAAAAAATGCCCGCCCCGCCCCGTCGTCTGCTCAACGCCTTAATGTCCCCACTGTTGGAGCATAAGCCTTCCCTATGGATGGAATAGGGAGTTTGGGCCATGACCCACCACGCGGGCCCAGTGCCGATTGGTGGGTGCTAACGACTGCAGATGCAGCCGGGACCAAAGGCTTAACATGCCTTCCGAAGCACGGAGGAGGTCGAGATAGTAAACGTAAAACGACCACTGCGAAAGTTGCTTAACTTCAACGATCGCAGCCGAAAGCGCTAACCACTTGCGCCATCGAGTTCCGCTGCGCCATCGAGTTCCTCCAGCCTATTTCCTTCCTTTCCTTTTCCTTTCTTCCTTCCAGCAGTACGCTTAGCATGCACCAATATTGATTCATCTTTCTCTGACATCTCGCGGAATCCGCGGTGTGTTTTGAAAGAAGAATTTCAAATCACATAATTCAAATTCGTATTCTGATGATGATTCACACGAGGATTCTGCTGTGAAAAGTGAGTTTGTTCTTACAGAAAAGCACTGAAGTTGGGAGATTCCTGTATATTAAAATCTCACTTCCGATCGATAGCTCCAATTTGACAGAGGAGCTCGAGATAGTAATTTTTAATTCACCCATCCAATGACCATCCATTGCGGAAGTTGCTTAACTTTAAACGATTGCAGCCGAACGCGCTAACTATTTGCCTCATCGAGCTCCTCAACTTTACATTATATAATTTAAAAAAAGTTTAAATTAAAATGTATTATGCTAAAACTATCAATGATATTAAAACTTACCATCTGGAAGGCAGTGAGATATTTCTTCCACCAAATATATTTCTGGTACTTAGGTCCCATTGCAGCTACCATATAGTAGAAGTACATAACTATGTGGACGAAAGTATTCAACAGAGCGAAGAAAGTGCTATGACCACCTGTAACAATGTTTGATAAATTTTAATCAATACAAATTCTATGTTTTGGAAGTATTTTTTAACTAGTTAGCTATATTCATACCTAATAATATTATTCAATCTCCTATATGACTGAAACGACAAGAATAATCAAAATTATTTGCTGGCGTTTTATGGGCATACAAATACGAAAGCAATGTCGTATTATAATGTACTTTAAGCTTAGATTCATGTCGGATGCAAACACTTGTTAAGCATGCATACTTAATAAGTATGCACCAAAACAATAAAAAACACGAAGGAGATGTAAAAGAACTCAGCCAAGGGGGATTTGGATTCAAACGCGGGTTTTATAGCATTGTACAAGGTTTTAAACTTTAAGGAACTAAAACCTACGAGTAGGTACATTAAAAAATTACGTTTTTAGGGTTCAGTTTTGGTAGAGAAACGTTTCCAGGTCATATTTTTATTGAAAACAGAATTTTTATTTTCGTTTTTTACTGATATACCTAGGTACGCAAGATAATTATAAACGGTATTCACTTTTAATGGAGTCACTATTATATACCTACACTAAAAAATAACGTTTTCAAAAACTTGTCAACAAGTGAAGGTTAACAAAACTTCAACGTTCGACTTGTTAATGATGACATGTTATGTTACGGCAGCTAGTCGTACAAATGTATCATAGGTATGAATTATAAATAAATATTTCCGACACTCACACCAATTAGCCTAGCCCCAAAGTAAGCACTATAAGGCTTGTGTTATGGGATGCTAGGGTAACGGATAGAATACATATATAAGTATATTTATATAAATACATATTAAACATCCATGACTGGAGTACAAATGCTCGTATTCATCACACAAACATCTGCCCCCACCGGGATTCGAACCCGAGACCTCTCGAGTTGGCGACAGCCATGAAACCCGGCGTACAAACCACTCGGCCACGGAGGTCGTCAATTAGATATTTGTAACCGGAAATATTTAAATGATACTCGAAAATAATTAAATGATCACCTAAAAAGACAATTCGTAACCTAAAGATTAGGTTAGGATACCAATGGTATTCTTTTGACGATCAATTACTATTTTTTGATGACCATTTATTTAAATATGTGCATTTTGAACAGTCACAGATTGATGACTATGACTTGCATTTATTTAAATTTATCAGTCATAGCGGTACAAATAAAAACAAGGTTCATTTATCACGTAACATTTCACCTTGATTAACTTTAAATTTACTTTGCCAAACTTGTTCAGATTCGTATTAAGGCAAGGATAGAACACACATAATATAACTAGCTGTGCCCGTAACTTCGTTTGTTTGGTCGTGGGAAAATAACAAAAAATCATGTCGTACGTACGCGTCATGATTTTTTCTTATGATGAAGTGAAGCGCTCTTCTTACATTTTTTTTTATATAATATTGGTTAAGGGTAGATCAAGTAAAGCAAATCTTCGTGTTACAATGTGACTAAACATGACGATATTATATTTGTTTCTTAGGTTTTCACGCACATCACTCATTAAATAAAACTAGTTTTTCACGGGTTAATGTACGAAACTTTATTTATTTATTGACGTTTTTAAAGACTATGTACTTAAATTATAGGAATATTGTTATTAGAGTATAAATTATATTAAAATATGTATTTCTGAGCATTTCATCAAATGTTTTCATGGGATCCTTGAACAACATTCTAAGATATTTCACTAAATATTTTGCTTAAATAAGTAGTCAGATTTGAAGTCGCATATTAACAAGAGATAAAGAATAATATAAAAAAAAACATACCTGTACACACAAAAATTAGCAAATTAATATATCTTCTCAAAAATAAGTTTTATTAAATATTGGATAATAAATATATTTTGATAGATATATTTGATAAAAATAAGGCCTATTATAAAAGTAGGCTTTATTTAGTATATTATATATACTTCATAAAAGTTATAAGTAGAGAGTATTAAATTCGCATATTCTAAAAAGATAATTTTAAGTCATAGTTAACTTTTTGATTAGTTATATTGTAATCCGTATACATTACATGAAACAAAACGATTAGCAGAAAACCTAATGACGCGCAATGAGAACGCTCGTCGTTCACAAAGTACCGCCACTACTGACGCTATGAGATCGAGCCGGGACAGCTCGTGGACACAGTGTTGCCAACTCTACGTCTTTTTCCGTAGATCTACGTATTTTAGGCCTTTTCTGCAAACCTACTAACTTCAGTCCCAGAATCTACGTATTTTCTTTAATTTTTTCAGTAAAATAACTTAATTCACTAGAATAAAGAAGAATATTTTCCGTTACTTTACTTAAAAACTATAGAAATGTTTATTTCTTATAAAGATATATCTAAAAACTCCTGTATCTTGTAGAAAAGGTTCACGTTATTGGTTTTGTTGACTAAATTAATGCTGGACGCAGGATTTGTGAAAGCAGAAACGACAAAACTCTTTGACTTAGTAGGTACATTCATAACCTTAAAATTTTTATTTTTATACTTTAAATATTATTTAATGAGTACTTACATCGAATTGATCTTTGCAAAAAGAAATGATGACTTTCAGTCGATAAAGTTACAGGATTTAGCAAGTTTTAAACATGTGTTTATGTGTAAGTATGTTTATTACTCTTGGCACACAATTTAAACCACTACTTTTCTAGAGTCTTTTACCAAGTGTATCATGATAACTACTATATTTTCATGTGATCTATTAGAAATCATGGTTTTATAATATTAAATCAGAAAGTTTATTTCCTACGTTCTTGCGAGTGTTTGTTTACAAATGTTTTGATGTCATAGCATAGATAAGTCTATAGACTAAATAGCGTTTTTGTATGTCTTCTAGGTAAAAAAAATACATTTTTCGGTCTGATAGAACAATTATTAACAATTTAAAACATAATTCCAAAAAGTGTCAACTAGCCTATTTCACAACAGTGTATCCTTGTCATTCTCTATACAGAATGAAAAGGAGAGACTGATGTTAAATTTAGTTTTAAATTTAGAGAATCATGCCGGAATCGACACCCACCAGTGTCCGTGTCTGATGGTAAATGCTTCCAATGCATCGACTTCTCCAAGAACTCTTTGTTCTATCTCCCGTTTTTAAAGAAATTGTATAACAAAATTCTCGTTTTATTCGGTTTCACCTAACTTCTTCATTTCACTCAGAAAAAAGTACGTAGATCTACGTACTTTTCATGTGCAAAATTTACCAATTCTACGTAATTTTATCATCGTGGCTACGCCTTTTTCAAAATCCGAGTTGGCAACACTGCGTGGACAGTTCACAGAGTTGTAGAACTGTCGTCTATGCGTGTGTAAAGTATTTTTGATGTTAATATATTTTAATAGACTTTTCTGCACTACATGCCTTATTTCAGCATAGGCCTTATTTGTATCAGGTACCTTATCCTTTGATCAAATATATTATATTCTCAAATAGTTCACTCGTCCACTTATTTAACACAAAGGACAATGGCGAACTCCCATACAAATTTTTGTTGAATTTTTTTTTTGCGTCTATAAATGAATTGCATCTTAAATTATTGAGTTTAGATTCTCGATTTGATTCGTCTTATTTCTATTATTATAGGAAGTCTGGTTTTATAGATATTGTACTTTGAAGTTTTGGAGGTTATGTCATACCAAGTAATACAAAAACGAATTATTAAAGTATTTACAAGAGTATTTTTATATCAAAATAAAAAATACGTGAACGGAACTATAAGAGTATACGGTTCCCGTTGATTAGTAACCAAAAAAAATGGTTTTTATAATGTATGATCAGTGGGCGTAGGTACTTACTGACCAACCGCGTCAAAATACTTAATAATACTAAACAAACCAGGGTTATTTAGTTCGAATACAATGTCTATGCTGTAAGAAGTACTTAACAATTTGAAAATGACCACAACAATAATAAAGTATAAAAAGGATTTCTAATAGTGTACTGATGGGATATTAATTAAATATGAAACACGTTTTTTATATATTTTTTATTCCATATCTTTGATCACAATATCGTAGATAGTAGATACAATGAAATAAAATGCACAGTATGGGACGGAATCGTGTCCAAAATCCACAGCAAGAAGTCGTCCGAAATATCAGATTCGGAAGTCTTAGGCAAGCTCTACTCAACAGTCGCAGGGAAGATTTCGAGAGTCCAAATGCAGTCCAAGTCACATAAAAACACAAATCACAAAAAAAACACTGCGCCGATTTAAATCGTTGCAATACGCATGCACTTATGTACAAGCAACGATAGTGTTATCAATATCAACATAACAACAATTCGATGACAAGCATGACAGTGACAGTTATAGTTTTTTGCGTTAGAATTGTCGCCATACCCTTTTTGTATTGTGGAGATTATTTATTATGGTTTCAGTATAATATTGAAAAATAATGTTTCCCGATATTTTTGATAGATAATTAAATACAGTTTAAGCGTAAAGCGATGCAAAAAATACGAACAACATATTTAAAGTTGATTTCATCACTAAAATCAGTTAAAATAAATGGCTCAAAAGCCATGATGCCAAGCCACAATAAAAAAAAAATAGTCAATTGTGTTTCTCTTTTTTTAAGTTTTTAATTCCAGACTTAGGCAACCCTCCTGAATTGTTTAATAAATCTTTTGAGATTATTTTATTAACATTTCTGATAATGACATCTATAGACGTTAAAGATTTACTTCAACAAATATTTCGCCATTGTCCTTTAAGAAGATAAAAAGAACCATTACCAAAGTTGTTTAGGTATAAAAACATTTTTATTATTAATGCTGAAATAGATGGCGCTGGTTGATATCTGTTTTGCAATATGATTTATATTAGTTTTTTCCATAAACTGTAATTAGATTTTATTATCTTATAACAGGATTTTTCTGTAGGTTGTCCCTAAATAAATAGAACCTAAATAAATAAGAGAATAAAGAATATTTGCGGATTTTGACAAATACTTAAAATAAACACATTCATTGACTTTAGC